ATCTGCCTTGGGAAGGTGGAACTGGAAACCCAGCTGCTTCCCATGACTTCAGCCTCAGGAGACTGAAGTAAGCGCCAGCGCAGCTCACAGCGCCCAGCAGCTGCTCTTCAAGGCACGAGTGCCACGGCTACGCGATGAAACAGGCTCTCCAAAGCAAAGCATCGATTCCCCCTGCAGGGAAGGTTGGGTCTACCTTGCACTTAGCCCACGGGGGACTCTGCCACCAAGCGTTCCTCTAGTTATTGCAGTTATCGGCACTTTCTCTCTGGCCAGAGCTACGCCACAGCACAGAGAACTTAAGCATCAGTAGGACAGGAGCAGAAAGCAAATCCCAGTATGCAGGCTATAGCATTGCCAGAAATAGGGTTCTAAGGGTTTTTTTGAAGGCTGGCTCTCACATGCAAGAAGTTAAGGTCTAACGCAAGAAGTGCTACAACAGGGATATGTATATACTCAGGTACTTCACCAGATAAAGGAAATATATTTATTCCTTTCACAGATTAAAGATGGCTATTAAACATCAGATGCATACTTAAGACTTGCCTTTCTGGATCTGCCTGGCAGTTAAGAAAATTTCTACAAGCAATGCTAGATAGAAATGAAACTTGTATTTGGAAAGTTTTGAAGAGCTAAATATGGACAAGTGAGGGAAAAGGGCAGACTGAGGCGAATCTCTTCTAGAAAGTTACTGAAGTTAGTAAAGCCCACAGCAAGATAAGGAGTTCAGCAAGGTAAAGAGCTGACCTAAAAGAAGACTGTATGTTATTAGCCAGAACAGTGGTCTAAAATTAAATTCAGGGAAGAGCCAAAGGTGATGCTGTTCAGGACAAACCAAGAACTTCAGCTGATGCAAACAAGGAGATAAGACAGCTGCAGGAGATAAGAGTCCCCCTTCCTTAAAGCAAAGTAGCCTTAAAATTGACATTGTACTTTGGCGTTTCTGAACACTGAAACAGCGTTATAGCATACTGAAATTTCTTCTTCCCCATCAATCTTTGTCATAACTGAAACTGTTCATTTCAAACCAAACCTCCAGCTGACTTTGGCAATCTGGCAAACCCCGATTGCCAGTGAAGCATACAGTTGCTTTTGTTTCTCATCAGGCTAGTCCCAACAATTTTAGCTATCTAAATATACTTCAGTTTGACTTTTTGCTCATTTTTTCCTTTGGACTGGCTATTACTTTCTGCTATACCCAATATATTGAGTGGAAGAATAAGGAAGTTAGGCTTGCATGAGCATTCACTTAATTCCCCAGGCAACATGTATTCTTTATTCCCATCGGGGAGGAACTGCTAGAGTATTACTGCACTTCCCCAGAAAACACCACAAATTCAGAGTAAGAGCTGACATGCTAGAGCTACTACTCACTCCCGAGAGAAGAGATGGAGGAAGGAGCAAGGGAACAGGCAAGACAGACCCTCTGATGGCAAGTTTTGCACTAGGCTGGCTGTTACCCAGTAGTGCTTTGAGCATACCTTGTCTGGATTTGTTTCCTCCTCAAGAAGCCTCTTTCACTTCAGAACTCACACAATTCCAAATTAAGCTTCCCACTTCCAGATAAACTCACCAATGTTGACCCCTGCAGCTGTTAAGATTTGATACACAGTGTGTAGGTGGAAAAGAGGAGGAGTCTATCTGTAGCTGAAATATGATTTGCATGCATTTTACACAAATACAGAAAAAAGTTACAAAGAACTACATTTTAAACTCTGTTAGTGAACTCTAGCCTACTTTTTTTTTTTTTTGGAAACATAAGAACCCATTTTATTACCATCACTAAGCCTGGTATACCTGAAAGCTCCTTCCTAAACCATACCAACCATCTCACCAAAATGCTAAGTGGTCAGCTTACGCTACGTTGAAGTACCCAAGCCAGTCGCAAACAAAAAACTCAAGTACCTCAGCAGAGCTTTACTCTGAAGTATTATTTGAACTTGTCTTTTCAAAAAGACTTATCACAAATGGTTTGTTAGCTATAGTGGTACAATTCTTTTTTCCATACAAATAGCTGCAGTTTTGTTTCACTGCTAAACAGGAAGATACTGTCTCAAAAAAAGACACAAACACGGGAATCCAAAGCTGGTAGTTATTTACTTGAAGACTCTCTTGAAACATTAAAAAAGAGTATTGTTACAGTTAATTAATTCCTTCTGGAATGAAACTGGACATGCTTGGTCAAGGGGATGATATAGAAAGGGCAGTTTGACTTTTACAAAACTGATATTCAAGCATTATCAATACACACAAAGGACAAGCTCTTACGCACATTTGTTACATTGCAACTTTCGCTCAGCCTCAGTAAACATCTTTGGAATATAGAGTTTAAAAATAATCAAGAAACTTAAATATTCACAGGACAAAACGATACTATTAAAAATACGAACAGTAAGATTTACAGAGATCAGCAAACACAGGCCGCCTAGGGAGAATCAAACCAGAACTACTCACAAGCACAGGTCTGCCACACAGAGGCTGGGTTCCAGCAACTCGGAACACTCGGGACCAAGAGGCAGTTTTGGAATTTGGTTACTTGCCTAAGGCAGGGAGGCAGCAAGAAAAGGTAGGAGTGCAGAAGGCAAAGGCAAGGTAAATCAGTGCTAGAAGTTCTTGTTAAACCAGGAGTCTAGAAGTACAGCAAGGAAAAGGCTGTTTGTTCTTTTAAAAATAAAAGTTAGCCAAAAGTGATCAGTATATACTTTCTATATTGCACGAACAGTTTTAAAGTAACTGAAAAATTAGAAAACCCTGCATTTGTAACAGCTACATTTAAATATATTCCAAGTAGAGTCAGCCCACTGAAAATAGTGCAGCTTTTAAAACAATTCATCAGTTTTCCCAAACAGCATACAGCATTTCTGTGTCCCCTGTCTTCTCAAACCCTCTCCAAACTAACGAAACGCAGCAGTTATCAAAGACAGTGCTGCTAGTTCTCCTTAGTACATCACAGATTTATTGCTTTATTTTACTAGTGACAAAGGCTAAGATCTAAACTTCTAGAGAATTTAAGGCAATCCCAGAAGACCAACACCATAATGGCATTTACAGCACGCAGCAGTCTTCATTCGAATACTGGGAAAACTTTGATATTTAAAAATGACAGGAACACTCAGATTTTAACCAAAAGGACCCTTTGAAGCATCAGTTATCTTCTTAGTATGTAACCCAGCACTAGTCATAAGTCATTCCAGAGCATCAATGTTCAGAAAAAAAAAAAAAGAAAGAAAAAGTCCAAGGAGGAGGTTCCAGGACATCTTACGTAACTCATTCTTACTCATCTAAGAACTTGTTGAAGATTCACTCAGATATTTGGATAGCTGAATCACTTTTTTTCCCATTCATAACATGGAGGATGAATTATGAGCTATCAGATATACTTAAAAAGAAGCATCAAGACTGAAAAAACATGGCATATTCTTAATAGCTTTATAAGCCGATTCACTTGCAAGAGCTCTGAATATTGTTTTTCCCCAACATTTCTTTCATATCCCGCAGAGTTCATTACAAGCTCCTTGTCTGATGCTCTGTCTTAATAATCACTAGGAGAACCTGGCTTTAGAGAGCCAGACTGCAGTGAAAACATCAAGAGTTTTCTCTACGTTTGCAGTCTTAATTACTCATGACCAAGTTTACTACTGACAAAGATTTATCAATTGCCAGTCCTGCAAACCCAGTCAGGTGAACAATTAAAAAAAACCCCACACAGCTTAAAAAAAAATAAAACAAACCCAGCAAGAACAGGCTTGTCAAAAAAACTAAGTGTCCTCAGCATTAGGCTAGCCCTTCCCTTGCAAATACTTTGGCAATTAACTGACAGAATATGGAAAACTCTTTATGAGCGATGCAAGATAACACTGGCCCAATGTGCATGTGCATTTTTTTTATTTCTACACAGAGTGAAAACAAATACCATAGAGAAAACAGTAGATTACAGTTTTTTAAAGAAAGAATTAGGGTAATTGTTTCAAGATGGTTTTGTGAAAACAGAAAAGATGACTTTCTGTAAAAGAAATTAAGAAGCATTTATTTCAACTTCAGCCCAGGTATAGCCTGACTGGATTTGCAGTAAAATTTGATTAAGCAGAAGTCTCTGATGATGTATTAAAAATAAGCAGAGTCCTACTGCCATCCAGCAGGATGAATGGATAGGTTTTGCACTCAGCAGAGAACCTTGCATGTAAACTATTCCCATCTGAATCAGAGTCAATGAGACAAACAAGACTTCACAATACTACTTCTAATTTTTTTCTAGAGAAGAATTACTTCACCAAGAAGCACATATAGTTTTCTACAGCCTTTTCTAAAGGAAATCGATGCAAATAGCATGTTTCTGGTCATCCAGAGAAACCACACTACACAGAGCGCTTGTGGTAACTTCCATCTGGGAGGATGGCAAAGACAAGCTCTCAGCTTTTGTTCTGAGGGCAACTTTTGTTCCTCTAAATGAAGATAGCAACTCTCATCTCTTTGGAAGCAGAAAGATGGGGATGAGGGGGCATTAGTAGCACTCATTGTCATAGCAGAAAGCAGAAGTTTTTGTCACATAAAAAGCCTGGAACATGTCCCATAACTGAGGGAACTTTTACCCTCAGAATTTCTTCAGAACCTAACTAGATAGACTGACAATGAGAAACCTTTTTGAATGCTTTAGCAGCAAACAAGTTAGTGCATTTTCCTTGCTAATGTTCCCTAATGCAACAAGTACACTGGTTTACATTCTGTTAAAGAAACCCCTATAGAACTAGCGATTCAAGAAGCCACATAAATTATTTCTTCGCACTTCTCTGCACACAGGCAGGAGAAGTTCCAGGTATTTGCAACAGCGTATTTTAGTTTTAAATAACTGCTGCCAAAGATGCTTTTTTTTTATTGAATTCACAAAATGCATCAATATTACCATGACAAGAATCATTCTTTTCTTCAAGCTGAGGGATTTGACATTTAGCTCCTTCTAGTGTTTGAGTTGGTGACTCAAACACCAAACCTGCATGCAAATAAAGCTAAGACTTATCCACTGTAGCAGCAGGGTTCACTGTGCGCTGCCTTACAGCATTCAGTGATGAGTTTCTGTTGGACACCTCTTTATCATCCATTTCATCATCTGAGATATCTTCCTCATCCGCTTCTTGCTCTTCATCCAGCTTTTTCAGCAGCTGAGCTGACTCCGGAGCTAGCTTTCCTTAAGGAGAAAAGAAAACATGCATAAACAAATAAATACCATTACCATGTGAAATAAACTTTTTTAACGTCACGGGCTAGCAGAGAATTTTAATTAATTTAATCCAGGCAGCACTTTTCAGTATCACTCACTTAAGCTGCTTTCTCAGGTAGAATTGTTGCTAGCATGAAGTTACCCACAGGTCAAGTATTAACAAATTACAGACTACCTAGATGAGGTAATATAAAACTTCCTCCAACTTTGGGAAGAAAAAACAAAAAAAAGAGTCTGGTTCCTACAAAGCATAAACCAGCATTCCAATGTTCTTCCATGACTTTTTAAGGTTACCTTGAAAAATTCCAGACACTAACCCCAAACCGAATCACTTACTATCCACAGAAATGCAAATTCACTTTTAATCCTCACTTTGGCCCTAAAACTTATGCAAACCCTCAACTTATCAACACTGAGAACTCCACTCTAAACTTCTATCTCCTTGCACATACGGAGTTTCATATCTTGCAGGTATGAAAATGCTGTAAAAACATTTTTCTATGTCCTAAAAAGAAACTTTTAAAAATAGTTTAGTTTTAGCTAAATAAATAGAAACCTATAAACACTAAAGGCAAACAGCTGCAGGTAAAGCACAGCATCAATCACAAGTATAAACTTCTACACCACATCTCACGTCCTGCAGATGCAAGTTACATACCAATACTTATTTAATAAAGATTTACCAAACAGCTTCACTGAATCAGAAGTATACAGTGGGCTTACTTGAATGAGGGTACTGTGGCGGTCTGTGCCTTTTGGATGGACAGACACAGTCTGCTAAGAACACCATTACCTGAAAACAAAGACAGACAAGTTTAAACCTCTAAACATCCTGCACATTGGAATCATAGAATCATTCAGGGTGGAAAATCATCCAGTCCAACCATTAACCCAGCATTGCCAAATCCACCACTAAGCCATGTCCTTAAGCACCACATCTACAGGTCTTTTATTAAACACCTCCAGGGATGGCGACTCCACCACCTCCCTGGGCAGCCTGTTACAAAGCTTGACAATCCCTTCAGTAAAGAAATTTTTCCTAATATTCAGCCTAAACTTCCCCTGGCACAAATTGAGGCCATTTCCTATCATCCTATCGCTGGTTACTTGGGAGAAGAGACCAACCCATATTTCACCACAACCCCCTTTCAGGGAGTTGTAGAGAGCGATGAGGGCTCCCCTCAGCCTCCTCTTCTCCAGACTGAACAACCCCAGTTCCCTCAGCCGCTCCTCATCAGACTTGTGCTCCAGACACCTCACCAGCTCCGTTGCCCTTCTCTGGACACGCTCCAGCACCTCAACGTCCTTCTTGGAGTGAGGGGCCCAACACTGAACACAGGATTTGAGGTGCGGCCTCACCAGTGCCCAGTACAGGGGCACAATCACTGCCCTACTCCTGCTGGCCACACTCTGTCTGATACAGGCCAGGATGCCACTGGCCTTCTTGGCCACCTGGGCACACTTCTGGCCAACCAGCACCCCCAGGTCCTTTCCCGCCAGGCAGCCCTCCAGCCACTCCTCCCCAAGCCTGTAACGTTGCATGGGGTTGTTGGGACCCAAGTGCAGGACCTGGCACTTGGCCTTGTTGAACCTCGTACAGTTGGCCTGGGGCCATCGATCCAGCCTGTCCAGACCCCTCTGCAGAGCCCTCCTGCCCTCCAGCAGATCAACATTCCTGCCCAACTTGGTGTCATTGGCAAATTTACTGAGGGTGTGCTTTATCCCCTCGTCCAGATCATTGATAAGATATTCAACAGAACTGGCCCCAGTACTGAGCCCTGGGGAACACCACTTGTGACTGGCCACCAGCTGGATTTAGCTCCGTTCACCATGACTCTCTGGGCTTGGCCGTCCAGCCAGTTCTTTACCCAGCAAAGCATACAGCTGTCTAAGCCACGAGCACCCAGTTTCTCCAGGAGAATGCTGTGGGAAACAGTGTCAAAGGCTTTACTGGAGTCTAGGTAGACAACACCCACAGCCTTTCCCTCATCTGCTAAGCGGATCACCTTGTCATAGAAAGAGATCAGGTAAGTCAGGCAGGACCTGTCTTTCATAGAGCCATACTGAATGGGCCTGATCACCTGGTTGTCCTGTACATGCCATGATGGCACCCCAGGTGATCTGCTCCATAACCTTCCCCGGCGCCGAGGTCAGGCTGACAGGCCTGTAGCTCCCCGGATCCTACT